GTCATTATCACTTCACTTTCGCTTGTCACGGTGGTGATGGCATCGCTCTCTGAAGGTGACTTGAGGAGGTTACAAAGGAGTCTTTCCAGTAACTTCTGTGTTTTGTTATGAGGGTCCGTCGATGACCGTATGTTCGACGGAATTAATGCCGAAATTGCACGACTTGAAAACGCTTCTCTGGTGTGTGCAGGGCTCCAGGCATTGCTACTTGCGAACTGTGTTCAGGACAGTGTCCTCTCAGGAACAGAACATCTGATCGCGAAGGCATTTCACAAGCATGAAGTCGTAGATCTTGATGATTTAGAGGATAACGCTTCTTCACATCTTGCTAATCTTGCGAACTTTAGGAAGGTGCTTGCCTGCCCCTGTGCAGCGGCTCATCAGAGCACGCCAGAGATGATCAGCGACCCCAGCAGAGAGCAGATGGCGCAAACCGGGCCCCAGTGCCCGCGAGCATCTCGCCGACGGGGGACTCCATCAAGAGGGAGTGGGCTCACTACCATATATGGGCCGTTATCTTCGGACACGAACTTGGCCTCAACCCAGATAAGGATTGGGAGCTCAGTGTCAAGCAACTATACCAAGGCGCCGTTGCCCAGAGTGCCTTAGGGACGAGCTTAGGCGACGAGGACCATGGCTACAAAGCCCTCCCGAAGATCGCGCTCGTCAACGACGAAGGTCTCTCGAGGTTCCAGCCCGGCGACAGCCGTGGCCGGGAGAAGGCATGCATTACAGTTACTGACTCGACCCTGATCTTTAAAGCTGGCGCGAGGACGTTTGTGGTAATGGCGGAGGACTTCAAGGCCCTAACAGGACCCGCGTACTCCAGCGGTACACAAACGTAAAGCAGAACGCCATCTGGGGCGGGAACCTATACACTCCATAGTGGAGGCAGTCCTCAGCTTCATCCCGGAGGTCATCAACGAGTCCCTTAACCCTGGCAACGTGGAAGTGTCTGGATGGGCAATGAACTGTGTGGACGCCGCGGAGTGTTTGTTGACTCCGGCACTCCCCAATGGCAAATTGGGCCAGAGGGACTCAGTGCAGAGGGCATATGGTCGGAGATTGCCGCGAGCGTGTGCGGTGAGATCGGCCGTCTAGCCGCCCTTCAGGGCAGGCCAGTAGTGGGGTCCATCCAAATCCTCAGCGATGCCGACCGCATAGACTACGGTCTACCGCCCGAGTACAGAGTGGCTATCCGAAACTTCCTCGGATACGCCAGGATTCGTGGCCTGTATACCGCTTCCTTGAGAGAGTCAGTGGCCCAGATCCCCAAACACGACCACTACCATTTCAGGGAGGACTCTACACATCGGGCGGCACTAGCATCAGCCATCGGACAGAGGATCAAAGTCTGTCAGGCTGATCATCTTTTTAACAAGATGCCGCCTGCGGTGCTGGACGAGCTGGTGCGATCTTTCCCATTTGATCCTCATGGGACAAGAGTTTATTCTATGCAATATGTGTTCGATCGCACTTTGTATAGAGCCCAGCTGTCCCGCAACCTTCAAAGGCAGGCCGAGATTCGCGAAGCCGCCAACGAGTGTCCTGACCCATGGGAGTCCAACTACGTGCCACCGCCTGATTTGCCTGTTACGGGAATGAGGGAAGTGCCGCAGGATCTCCTCAACTGGGAATGGGCCGCAGCTCGTGAACAGGCCCAGCGCCGTGCTCTTTGAACGGAAGGATCCAGCCCCACACAGTGGTGGCCATTCTGGCAGCGCATCATCCCGTGATGTCCCGGAGGCTTCCTTTGACGAGGTCCTTGCAGCGATGCCGTATCGCACCGAAATCTATCGGACGTTCTCGGCTGTTCGCGAAGGCATGACCAAGAAGGACCCCTCCAGCGGCTTTTTCAAAGCTCGCCAGCACGACTATGTCGGGGTAAAGTACCAGGATGATGCAGATCTCATGGAGATGTGCGGATTCGTGGACGAGGATGTGTGCCCAGAGGATCCTGAGGGCGAAAGAATGCGCATCATTCTGCCCGATGAAATCCCCAAGGACCACTTGCCGAGAACCAACCTCAAGGAATGGAAGCAGAGGTATCTCACAGGCGTGGTGCGGGGATCAAACGTGCAGCTTGAGTCTGGAAAGTGGGTCCGCATTCAGGAGGTGATCGAGCACATGTGGCGGCAGCTCAGAGTTGATGTCGGCGCTAGGGGCATCCTTTCACTGGTTGCTTACGACAACAAGAGCAGATTCAACCTCTCTGGCCTGCCCTCCGACCCTCGAGCGGACTTCATCGAAACAGAGATATGGCCGACCTGGATCTGCGCCTCGCGTGGCCATAGCGAGCGGATCAAACATCAGGTCTCGGATTCGTCCATTGCCATTCACGGGTTCACGAACGATGAGCGCGAGGAGCTTGGACCTTCAGCCACCTATCAAGGTAGGCCATTCCTAGCTCTTGGGGAATTTCCCCCGCGGCTCTATCATCGTACGACACACGATGCAGCCTTCAACATCCTCAACACAGGATTCCAGCCAGGCTATGGGCGGAGCGGAAAGTTCCATAACTATTTCGCGAAGGCCACCCTGAATGAGCTGGCAGTCGAGCAAACCTGCCATTTGAGCTCGTACTCGACACGAGGGAAGTGAACGAACAGGCCTATTTGTTCGAGACCACTTCCGAAGGAGTGCTCACCCGCGATGTTGTACCCGGATCATGCGTCCTTTATATCCGGGACACACAAAAGGGTGTGATCGTGTGGTCTCGCCAGTCAGGTGATGAAGAAGTCACGATCCTACCGGAGACCGCTCCAGAGCCGATTGTCGATCCTGGAGCCGCGATCCCGGAGCAGTTCCCCGACGTTGTTGAGGAACCTACAGCCCCACTTAGTGGTGGCCAAGAAAGCACAATCCAATCTGCCTCGGCAGATGAGCCGATCATTGAGGTTGAGGTTGAGCCAGCAACAACGGCTCCTCTAGCCCTCAATGATGCAACGGCCTCGGATGCTCTTCCTGAAGAGACCGCCGTGCTGGATCAGGGGGGCACCGCAGTGACTGCAAACCTGCTGAATCCCGCAAAAGAGTGCGCTGCCTGGAAGAAGAGCCCGTCGAGGTCGAGATCGAAGTCGAACCCGATGAAGGCGATGTGAAGGAGGAAGAGAAGGACGTCAAGGTTGAGCCAAAGGTCGAGCCCATGTATGAGCAGGCACCTCCCCAACCTGTGTCGACGCCTCTCGCTTTGCCTCCAGCCCCCGTTACGGGTGGCCGCCACCGTGCCTGTCCACACTGTGGGACTCAGCATATCGTGGGACAGATGATCTGTCTCAGCTGTGGCGTGCACATCGTGAAGCCTTCACAACAGAGGGCCCGCAAGAAAGTGCGAACGGCCCGATGGTTCGCAGAGGAGGCAGCAGCGGCATCCGTGGGAAAGCCACGCTCGCAGCTCAGTCCCGAAGAAGTCATAAGTGAAATGACTCGGGACCATACGACGCAGCGCGGCACAACTTCTCTGGACGCCGCAGCCCTTGAGAAAGCTCGTCAGCAACTCAAGATGGCGCAGAAGAACGGGTACACAAGCATTGTGGACCGCTTCGACCACGATGTCGACTACACTATGCACAGCGTAGGTAGCGGCTACGACAGGGAGTTCCTTGCGGTCGAGGACGTTCTTACCAAAGCTGGCATCCCGAACCATGGCCGCACAAAGGAGCAACGGCTACTCGCCGTGGGCACCTACGGCGGCAGCTCGGAGGGTCCTCGGAACCAGGAGATCGCCCGGTTGTTGTACCTCCACGACAACAATCCAGCCGCCCTTAGGGCAGGCCTGATTTCCGCTGTGAGTGAAGATCCATTTTGCATCATGTGGCTTGGAGGGGCATACAGCTTGCGAGAGTTCGTAGATGTCTTCACAAAATCGTGCGGATGATTGTCACATTCTCGGAAGAACCGCTGTACATCGATCCACGTGCCGGCTACACCGCCGAAGAGTGGGCCCAGTGGCTCGGACAGAAATTCGCAGCGCAGGTCGGGGTTGCACGTCGTGCATACGAAGAACGACAGCGCAACGCTGAACGGTCCCGCATCGCCCGAGCAAAGGCTGACGCGCGTAGGACTGAACAGCAGCAGTACCAGCAACAGGGCTGGGGTCGCGATTACCAGCGTGGATCCCATCCCTATGGAAGGTCATCCGGTTCCGGAGGACGGTACTAAGTACCTGACCCGCATTTCGTGGTTCCGTCACGTTAACCGGTACTCCGAATTACAGCCCCTCTTAGAGGTGGCCGAATTCCCTTAAACCCAGAAACATTTCATGCTTCATTTCTGGCAGTCACTTTGTGACAACTCCGAATCGCCAGCAGCTCCAGTGGATGATGTATTCGTCCCACGCTGCACCGATTTCTTGCGGCTCGTATCCACGCCATCATTCAAGGCTTGCTGGATCGCCGGCACTTTATAATGTATGTCGCGACTTTAAACCGCGCGCCAAAAGAATTAATCTGCTTCCGTTTCTTCCGCTTTACGGTAGTAGAAAGCCTATGAGCCCCGAGCCACAATCCAGCCGCCTTTACGGCAGGCCACACAGCACCAAGCTTCCGTGCCTGTTTGCGCCTCAGACTGTCGCTTCGGCGAGGGGGGTGTACTTTGTGCACGTGTGAAGTATCATGTTGTGTGTGACATTGTGGCACAAGTGCTCTAGCAGGAAAAAGGGCGTAGCTACTCAATGGTATACCGTGCCTAACTGCTATCACTTGGACGGGTATAATCAGCGCGTGTGTGCAGTGGTTTCCTACAACTATACAGGATTCTACACGGTCACCCTTCAATGTGACGTTATCTAGGATCACAGAGATCTCACCGAGTTCGTTTTTGCTGGGTTTTGTAGACATAAGGATCTCCTGCAGAGAACAAGATCCCTCTGCCCGTGAGATCTTTGTGCAGACTTTTCTTTATTTGCCGAGCTTGCTTCCTAACAGCATGGGGAAGCCTTGGCAGAACCTCGAAAAGCATTCAATAAGAAGGCTATACGCTTCTGTAAACAGCCGCGTGAGGCAGCGCGCCTCTACAACGACTGCTTGGTGGCACTGGACTTCGATGGCAAGGAGGATGAGACAGCAGAGGAGAGAACGAGCATCAGCGGCGAAACCGCTTGACAGCCTTGTCACCAAGAGCTCGTCAAGTGGAAGAGGTAGTGGCGAAGCTCCAACTACCCGTTTGCACGAATTTGGCCGCCTGCTTGATTGAGTGCTGGCCTCGAGCTTTCGACGCGTATCTGCTCTGCAGCGCCGTCACTGCCATAGAAGTCTCAGGATGGGGAAGTACGAGGAGTGCGTCCGGGCCCCAGAATTCATGCCTTGTCACACGACCCAAAGTAGTTCCTCAGAGGGTTCAACTAAATTGCTGACACATTCCAGGGCAGGATGATGCAGGATTGTATGCGTGAGTATCTTGGCTCATGAAATTGGCCAAGAAGGCTACGAAGTGTAGGCCGGTAGTTCAGCCATGAACACGGACGAGGAGGCCTTACTGGGACGACAGGATGTGGTTTTCGTCAACAAGAGCGCCAGCAGCAGTTGCTGCAAATGTTGCGGTTGTTGCTGCTGCTCGTTTTTGGGCCTCGTTCTTTGGGTCGTCTTCTTTATGATGACGACAGAGTGTGGCACACGCGTATCGCCGGTCGAACACATTCTCCCAGAAAATGCCCTTGCCGCCACAGCCTTACGTACGTCAGGGCACACATTGAAGATAGGCACTGAACATAGATGTTGTGCTGACAGGAAAAGGGGTGAGCCCTTAGGGCTTTTCTTGACAAATTTGCCTTAGGCCGGTCTCACGCCACCCTTCGAGAGCGGGACTTTGGGCAACATGCCTCCGGGATGCAAGAGTGTGTCAAGAGAGCAGCGGACTGAAACTGTTTCCGGGCTTGAATCGCAGTAGCTCTAGGTTCCTGGATCCTGCGCTGGATCTGAACTTCACAGGCCTCTGTGGGCGTGCTTCTCACGCTCACTTTCTACAAATGCGCCTTCGAATTCTTGGCCATAGCAGCGGCCTTTTCAATCAGTGCTGTGCGGTGCAGGAATATGGTGGATGGATGGCAATCCATTGATATGGGAGTGGCCTGGGTGACATTTTCATGCCTGGAGGTAGTCTGGAGGGTGCGGCGCTGCAAACGCAGGCTCGAAGTGAGACAACGATAAGGATTCTGAAGGCTGAATCGAACAGATGAGTACGTTCGCTGAAGGACGAATCGCGCGCTATTCGTGTGTTTTTAGCGTTGGTGCCACTGTTTCGCCACTGACCGACGAGCCGAGGCAGCTCGTGTCCTTCGCGGGGGCACAGGGCATGGCGCCGTATCCAACGACTGTCTACAACCCATCCAGCTTGGCAGGACGGTGTGCGACGGTGCGACAGCATGACATCAGGAGTAGGCCAGTAGGCTGTGAGATTAGGCTTTTCCTCGAGGCCACTGGACCTGGTCTGACAATTTCTTTGGCCGTGGCATCATGATGTGCCTCGCTTCATGCTCAAGCTTCTCTCGTCTCGATAATTCGAGAGTTTGTCAATCAAGTAGCTGCAAGCTGAAGGTAGGGCATGTCGAGCCATGTTCAGTAAGATTCATCCACGCCTTGAAAATCACTATTGGCAGTAATGCAGCATTGCAGCATGCATATCAATGCGGATTCTTCGCTAGATTGTGAGCATGTGTGTGGCTCCTGGAACCGTACCAGCCAAGGTTTTATGCGTTCACCTCATTTGCAGATCCTCGGCTTTAGAGGAGAGCTACAGCAGCTACAGCAGGCAGCTGCAGTCGGCTCAAACATTCGTGTATGAGGATTGATGAAAGATTGCCTGAAGATGTGCCTTACGACCAACAGCCTGCCAAGGAAGCGACCCACGACTTCTTCTTTACGAACAAAACGTACGCAGACATCGATGCTACATCGGATCTGGTCTTTGGCGAGGGCACCTTCCCAATGTCGAAGATCAACGAGGATGAATGGGACAGGGTGAACAGTTACATCCTTCGTCGGATCGTCTACGGAGATGGAACTCCTCATCCTGTGTTCTGGCCGAAGTTCCTCGACTGGTACAAGAGCACTTTTCCAGGTCTCGGTATCGCTGTGATGAGCAGCAACAACGATTGTATACGGAGATGTCAGTATGTCGCACCTTGCTTTGTATGTCAACCTCTCTGTGGAGTGGCCTGAAGAAGTGAAAAGGAAACTTGCCCTGGCAGCAAAAGGCTGTAAAGTAGACATGTAGCAGGTAATTGAGAGAGTCGCTCAGTGCCGACACTTGATCCGCACTGCGCCTCTCATGTACTGTCACGCATGACCCAGGCAAGAGCCTGTTGAGTCTGCGAGTCTTGGTGTGGTGTGTTTTAAAAATAGGCGCACCGCGTCTAAGACGGGCAACGTCGACCTGACCATCGAACATGCTGTGGCAATGACCAAGGCAAAAAGAAATGCATGCAGTTCGTCCGCCCTGTTGGACAGGGCTCCTGGGCTGCCATGCCCAGGTGCAAATGTGTGACATTGCACTCTCCGTGGATCCGACGGCGCCGAAGGCATCTGCTTGGCAGTATGCATTGCTTGTCAAGTTGGCTCACCTTCACGCTTGACTCCATGTCATTGTCGCATGTGAGCAGCTGACGCGTCAATCTCTTGCCATCGATGCTCGGTGTGAAGCAGCTGCTCAAAGTTTGCCAACTCACATCATGGCTTCAATTACTCCATTCAGGATCCTCGTTCGCAAGTGAGCACGGGCCTTTCCGTTAGCTTCGCAAGCGGCATGTCGAGTTGGTCGTAATGTGGAGTTTTCAGTCTCGGACCAAGGCCATGCGGCCTTTTTCTTCTTTTTGTCGCAGCCGGGCTCCTTATCAAGAGATTAGCCTGCATCTTCGTCCATGAGCGGGATCGGCTCAGATCTGGAGCTGCGAGGTGTACGGCAGGAGGACACGCAAAAGAAGATGCAAAAGAAGAAGCAAGCCGAAGCAACAATAAAGCAAACATCACCAGATCTCTCGCCTGAGGCTTGCTCGGGCCGCCAGGCAGATTGCTGCACATGAGGCGAGTTTCTACGAAGATCAGATCATGAAGGTGGGGTGTAACAGTTCGCCAGACCGTCAGGGCGAAGGAGTCCCATTCAACTCTCGTTGGAGGCTGCTGCAGCCGGAAACCCTGCTGTGCAGTTTGACAACGGCTGGTTTATGAAGCACTGCCGCGGGCCCGGAATTGACATTGATGGGGTTGTCAAAGACTAAAGAAGGGTTGTTCAGTTTTTTGTGGCGGAAGCACAGGTGATCTGTCGGAGTTCCAGGAAGACCAGGTCTTCCACAGACCGGAGTTCCGCTACAGAGCCTTGCCTTGGCTGATTGATTTTAGCGGTTTTTTTACAGAGCCTTCGGAGGCCTTGCTGAGATTGGACTTTGACTTAACTTGGGGCTGAGCGCTTGCGCCTGCTGTATCTTAGCGGCTTGGAGTTTCTGTCAATGCCACCCAGAATCAACACCAAAGACGAAGCTGGCTCGAGGGAAGGTGGGGGTTTAACGAGTTGTGGGCAAGTCATGTTGCAGACGAGACGGTAGGCTCAATCTGTAGGCTAGTTGTGCTTCAATCTTGTGGCATCAGAGCGGTGTGCGTGTTCGAGGCACGAACCCCACGCTGGATGCAGCCAGGTGGAAGCTGGGCACCAAATGCCGGCGGCTGAGTGCGCAACTGCGTTTCCTTCGTACGGAAGTTTCTGTTGACAGACAGGTGCTGAGAATGGTGATGGCCGCGAGCCGCGGCCTCCTTGGCAGCCGTCTACATTGGCATCATTGGCCCAGTTCATTTCTTCAGTTCATTTCTTCAGCCAAGGGAGATCCACCAAGACATCACGACGGACGACGACTGCGCAAAAATGTGGCCTTCTTGCACCAGTTCATTGATCCTACTTCATGTGGTGGACGGCGACAAGCAAGATTGCCGTGAATGATAAGCTGCATCAGCTTATGCAGCATGCTTCAAGGGCATCATTCCATTCCCAGAGCACGCTACAGGGGTCATACAGATGTACAGGATGCAGACACGCACCCGCAGTTGTGACAGACATCTGGTCGTCTCAACTTGAAAATCACAAGCGATGCAGGAGCATGAACATTATCAGTAGCAGCCGTTACTACTGCCACTACCGCTACCCCTGCCACGACCATGTCATCTATGCTTGGTCTTGAATGCAAGGCACAGGTTCAATTCGCACATCCGCTTACATCGGTAGTTTCCCGTCGCCGCACTGACGAATAATGCGGCCGTTGCGCACCTTCGATTCCGTTTTTTGCCCATGCCGCAAGCATCAGTGTTGACGATATCTTCTTAGCTTCGAGTGCCGAAAATGCAGGTAGTTACAGTGTTTCCATGGCCCAGCCATGATGACGACCGTTGCAGCAGTGCATTCTTTCGCGCCACAGCAACATGAGCAAACCATGATCATGATGACGTCTGTGGGACCAGAGTTCTCCAGCCCCAAACATGATGACATCCTGGAGCATCCATGGCCCAACCATGATGATGCTAGTGGGACCGGAGACTTTATGGCCCCTCCTACCACTACTACTACTACTACTACTACTACTACTACTACTCCTACTAGTGCTACTACTCCTGCTGCTGCTGCTACTATTCCCGAACTTCGGTCGTTGCAATCACTTCACATTTTGGTGAGCGGACGTCAAACGTTTTAGAACTTTGCTAAGACAAGCCTAATACGGAAAGGCAAAGTTCGGATAGCAGTCCTCTCAACGCCCGGTGAACGGGGTTGCCACAGATGTTGTGCATTGAGGGCCCGTAGTCCGCTAGCTTCAGGTGCTGGCAGAGAGCACAGACACTGCGGGGCACCGTGGTGTGCTGTGAGTATCACGAGGCAGGGAAATTCAGAATTGAATTCAAGGTTGTGGTTGTAAGGTTTGAGTTGCAGTCAAAGTTTGGGGCTGGCTTGGCCTGCCTGTGCAATCCTGTCTCGCTTGCACTCCCTGTGCAGGACAAATCGCAGTGCGAGGTGCGTATTGGTTGGCAGGCGTTGCAGGAGTCAGAATATGGAAAGAACCTCAGCAGCACTTAACTGAGTCACCCAGGTATCGGAAGAGAAGTTGCCCAAAGCCCACCAGCTGCTAACGTTTTTCACACGCGGAGTCCTAGGGGAGAGGGTAGGCTGTGAGTCCGATCCAAGGAATATGCTGAATATGAAAAACTGGCGCATCTTCGGCCGAAACCTGCAGCTCGCCCTCAACTGATCTCAACTGCATTAGTTGATCGGAACATCCAGTGTTGGCGGATGCGGGCACACGCAGTCAGGAAGAAGGCGCGTCTTCTGTATGCCCCGGACAACACAACATTGAAAACCGACGACGATGGTGATGCGGCTTCTGCTGCCTGACTGCAAGATGTCTTGGAGAGCGGAGCAGCACTCGGGTCGTCTATGGACTGGAGGAATCTTCTGAATTGTCCAGCACAGGAAAGCGAGCAGATCCAGTTGGCGGAAGAAGGCGTGTCGGCTGCAAGCTCTGCGTCTTGAGCGAAGCTCTGCCTCGGCAGGGCGTGAGCATGTGCGGAAGCTGGTGGAGCAGGTCAATCATCTGTCTATCGAGACTCGGAATTGAAAAGGTCTTTGAGTGTCGCATGCCTGTACATGTTGAAGATCAGCAGCTTCAGCCTTTCCCTGCCCGATCCCGATCGAAGGATGGAATTCTCGATCATTTGCTTTCTTTCTACGTCTGCATGCGCTATGTGCCGGATGAGGCTCCTGCTGGTCAGAACACTTGCTTGGCCTTCGCAGCCGTTGGAAGAAACGCCGACTCTGCAGGAGTTTGTGGAGCTCGCAAAGTATGAGCTGGACAAGGCGAACCGCCATCTTCAGCCCTGATCAGAAATCAACACGAATCAATGCTAGCTGGAAGTGCTAGCGGAATACCTTTCTCAGTTGCGTTTTCAGAAGATGAGTGGCATGTGATTGGAACAGTCTTTCCAAGTAGCATATGTGGCTCTCTTGATATCAGCTGCAGAGCGGCGTCTCCCGAAGGTGGCTGTCGACCACGCAACGCCGGCTTTGGGTCGCAACGTGACTCGCAGCTCGGACTGAAACCTGCCGTTGCCTTCTGAAAGAGGACCATAGAGTGCAATCGTCGCAAGGAGAAGAGATCTACGAGGAGTGCCGTGGCTCAGAGGGAGGAGCGAGAAGTTGGATTGGAGGGGCTTGTGAGGCTTGCAGCTTGTCTGGACCGTCGAGATCCCGAGGTACAGGCAGGCCCACCTGTTTCCCCTTCGCTGCAGTGGCTCGTCTTAATTGCTCAAAACTGGCTTCGAATGTCAGCACTCAAGACTTGAGTGAGAGCAGACGACTACCTCGACAACGGAGGTGTTCCAAACACAGACCTGAGACGGTGAGAGAGACTGAGGCAACTCGATTTACGTCCAAAAGTCTGATGAGATAGACAAGCTGACGCTCGCACTGTGCCACAGCTGAACATGAAGCCTCGTGCATGGTCGGGGGTTGTCACGAGGACTGGCAGACTTTCAAGACCAGCCAAGTGCCGCCTTGCCACTTGTTCAGGCAAGGCATAGCCGATTCAAAAGCTCATTCAAGTGGGACAAGGTGACGCTCCACAGAAGACCTCGGCCAACCTCACCCCGCCGCGATGAACAGCCAAATAGCAGCACAGTAACATGCAAGACGCTCCCAGCCTCCCGAGTGTGCGCAAATCACTGTGGCTCAGCCACTCGGACTTCCAGTGTTGCATGAAGTCGTCCGTATTAGTTAACCTTCAAGCAAGCAGGGTGCAAACCTGATGAAAGCGTTGGGCTCCTTTCGCTGCAGCCTTTCGTGTCTTTGAAACTTCGATGCGGAGCACCATCCCTGCTGGACCAGATGGTATGTGGACTTTTGCAAGTCCTGTAGACTGCAGAGTGCAGTGAGGAACACCAGCACTTCCAAACTCAACGAAGCGTACCGCTTCACAGTGAACGTGACCAAGAAGGCCCGCCGCCAAGTTGATAGTCTGTTCTGTGCACTGAATTGTTTGGAGACACAATCATGGTGTACCTGGCAGGCCATGCGGTCCTTGCAGGAAATGGACGAAGAGCTGCGCCTCAACCTGTGCCCTGACAGCACCTTGAGCCAGTAAGCATGACAAGAAAACGTTGTGCTGGTAAATCCCGGCAGGTCTGATGCAGACAGGCATGACTCGATCTACATGGAGGACTTTTTGCACAACTCTTGCCAATCTGGTTGCTCTTGATTTGTTGCCGCTACAATATTTGCTCCGATCTCCTCACAAGCAACGACACCTCCTTCGTTGTCAAAATGCTTTGTGCGCTGCCGCCTGTGTGCTGCTTCCCGAGAGTTCTCCGTCCTCTGGGGTGCTGTCATGGGCCTTTCCTTTCTTAGGTGTTTGCTGCTTTCTGATTTTCTTCTTGCTCTGCTTCAGATCCCAGCTGTACTCGTGAAAGCTTTGCCTGTCGGCGCCTGGCGCAGCTGGGTCTGTCGATCTGCGCCTCCAGAGTCGCTTTGCGAATTCCCAGACCTTCTTGGAAA